CCAATTGGTCTCTCTAATGCAGTTCTCGTGCCGTCTTCCGCCTCCGCTCACTGGTAGGACAGAAGAGAATACCACCTGTGCACTGAACTCCCTCAGCATGCTTCCCAGAGCATGGTAGTCCGTCATCAGATGACCGGGTCTTCTCCTGGCCGCATCATTAGTATCCACATGGACTAGGACCATGGGGTAGTAATCGGTGGGCTTAATCCTGGCCTGGATTATTCCTGTTACATCCCGAATCTTTGCTCCGGGCAGGCAGTAGACCTCTCGTGTTGAGGGGTCCTGGCGACAGATGGGTCCTTCCGTACCTCTCAGGATGGAATCGCCTATGACGATCACTCGACGCCGCCTCCTCTGGGTCTGCTTGGATCTCTTGACCTGTTCGGAGTGCGGAGAATGTGGCGTTGGTTCCTGCCCAGAGGTTTCCTCCTCTCCTTCCATCTCCTGCAGGGTCACCAGAGCCTTGTACCTGTTCGCCAGTCAGACTGGAGGAACTGGTATGTTGGACAAGCCTGCTCTAGTGTGAAGCATGGTTCTTCTAGGATCTCTGGAGCCTATAGTAACTAACTACTGACTGTTATCACAATGGCAGGACATGGGCAGTCCCCTTGCCTTCCCTGCTTTTTATCTGTGGCATGTTATTATGTGTTTCAGAGATTGTTTCCTGTAGTTGTGAGGGTTTGAAGTGGTGATTTGGGGAATTTCTAGGGTTAAATATTTCTGGCAGATGCGGGAGACTGGACTTGATTGCCCAGGGAGGCCCCTTCCAGTCCTATATTCTAAGACTACAACCACAAGGTCTTGCGGGCAGCACTGTTAGTGCCAGGAAACAGCATACTTCACAGGAAAGGAGAGAGGCCAGGTGGGAAGTGAAGCCTGTGTACAGGCAGCAGAGCAAAGGTGTGTCCTTGGTTGAAACTATGGCTCTGCTATGCATGAGATCAAATTAAATGGTCAAAATAGCGCCTTCTGGCCTTGGTATCCAGAAAAGTACATAGAGGAAAGCTGAGAAGTCCAGCAGACTCCTCTGCAGTGGCACGTGTCTAATTTAGCTGTTTAAAATCTTCTGATTTGAGTCTCTTGAGAGAACCTACATAGTAGATAGGGACATATAATCGCAAAGTTACTTTGGGTTTGGCTGTTCCTCAGTGCTTAATTTTGCAAACTGCATCTGCTTTTTATCCCCCTTTCTGGTGATGTAAGAAGCATAACATCCCAGCTGGAGTTTTGAAGACTGGTCTTCTGAATTAAGTCAGTGTGATACCTACAGCATCACTGAGATAAAGACCTGCAGTCATTTTTCGGGGCCATGCTTTTCAGAGGAATAGTGGCTATGGAAATAGTGAGCTCACATATCAATTATTCTGAACTTTGTCTGGGCATGGGGGAATAGAGGAGTGAGATCTGGGAGTGAAAAACAGCACAATGTGACATGGCACGTGACATTTCTGGAGCATGTTCTCAGATGAGGGAGAACAGTGGATGATCCAAGCAGTTTACTTTTCTGCTCAATCTGCCAAGGGATTCAGCTGGAAATTAAAATCATGAAGCTACAAGTCATTCCTGTGTGACTAGACTTTTCAAGGTCTCTTTCTAACACTGAATCAACACTTCTTTTAAGCCACTTCTTGTGGATCATTTGCTAACTAGAAAGGGGGTTGGTAGAGGTCAATTAGAGAACCATACTTTAGAGATAAAATACAGCTTGCATAGAGGCCTATGACTAATGAAGTTCCACTTTCAGAGCTTACGCAGGAAACAAGTAGTGCGGGCCTTGTCATGGTTCCATGTGAAGGGTGAATTGTGCAATCTTTTCTTATTGGTATGGAAAAGGAGGCACTTTAGCCATGTAGTAATATTCTTTCCAGCCTGCCTCAGAAGCCATACCTCTCAGGAAATGAAGACTAGAACTATGGACTTGTATGGAATGAGCAAGTAAATAATAATCCTGTTAGCATCATCTCAGTCATTTTTCCTTCCTGCTCCAAGATACCCTTTCAGCAGAAAGGACTGGGTTGAGGGTAGTGGAGAACCTCTAGCATGCTGTCATGGATGCAGTGGCAAAGGAGGATGGTACAGGCGAACTCTGAAGAGATACGGGTTCCCTGTGAAACCCCATGATTCATGGCTTTAGGTCTAGGGATAGACTCTACACACAAACTGGCTTAAGTTTGTGTGCCTGCATGTGCCTGAATTTCCTCAGTCCAGAGGGAATATCTGTGCAGTTGCAAACAGGTTCAACTTTGCAGGTTAGACTAACCTGCAAAGATTGAATCAATTCAGGCTCAGGCTTTTTGAATGTCTGTCCCTGGCCCAGATGGTCAAGCTTCACAGAGGATGGGGGGATCCCTGAGCCAAACCACATGAGGGACTTTAGAGATTCCAGTCCCCAGTGTGGACTATTTCATGCTGGGGATAATTCACTCTAGTATTTGGGTGCCTTACAATCACGTTCTTGCCTCCTGCTTTGGCCCACATGTGCTTTCTTTGTTTTCATTCATGTCTCTCTTGCTCTAGGTGGGCATGATGTACTTGTTCAATGCAATGTTTGGACTTGGAATCTTAGCCCTGCCAAAAGCCTTTGCTGATGCAGGCTGGCTGACCAGCAGTGTTATCTTGGCATTAGCCATGGTGATGAGGTACAGTATATGGAAACACTTTCTAAAGTCTGTCCTTATTTTAGAGTGCAGATACCTCCCATAATATTGAGCCCTGGGCTGATAAGATGTATACAAAGCATTCTGTAAGTGATCTGATACCTTTCTTAGATTATGAGTTTTTGAGGCTGGCATGATTGTCATTCTTCTGTACAGCATACAGTGTAATGTGGCAAGACCTTTACTGGGATTGCAGATTATTGCTTGTCAAAGAAGCGTAAAATAATTTTTCTTTACTGATTTATTTTTTTCATGGCCTCAGTACAGATGAGCAATGCACAACACAGTGAGTGCACCCGTTTGCACATGCATACAAGTGCTGGCACCTTCAAATCAGGTGCTGATGTGCCTGGGTTGTTGATTTTACATTCCCAAAAGCCTATTTAAGTGCCTTTGCAGAACATGTTGGCTCACTGTGGGGTTGTTTTGAAAGGATTCTGATCACGTGGCACTAAAAGCATTCACTCGTCCAATTTAAAAATTACTCCAGGGAAGGGAATTAAAAACACTTTCAAGATGAAAATTCTTGCCTGTGCACATGCTTGAGGAGGCAGAAGCTGGTCTGTTGTACAAGGAATAAGGCCCTAATCTGGCACCCTGGACTAATATGGACTGATAACTGTCATTGGAAAAAGTATGGCTCTGTCTGGTCACCTGGTGAAGCAGTATGGCTCTCCCTTCAGGATGGGCAAGGGCGTGACTACTCACTACTATCATCATCTGGCAGGGTCCTGTTGGGCTGCAGATATATGACAGACATAGAACAGATCTTGCAACTTCATTGCAATGAGCTCTCAATTGTTCTGAGCATTTTGCAGTTTTTTAATGCCTGTACTCTCACAATACCCCTGTGAGGCAGAGATGTTCTGTATAGCCTCATTTTGCAGTGAAAAACGGGTCCAGAGAGGATGAAGGGGCATATCTTTGAAGGTATGGTGTCAATGGGAATTTGATGTTTAAATGCCTCTGAGGATCTTGGCTCAAGTGACTGCACAAGGTCAGAAAAGATGTATGTGTGGCAGAGCTTAGAAATGAAACTTGAGTTGGGATGGGTCACCCCCTTTTGGCTGTGCAGTACATGTGCAATGAGCTTTATGAGCTCACTGGCTTGCTAGTGCAGATGCTGCTGGAACCACTGCTTTGGCATGACTCCCGCCCTTCCCTTTGCTAAGTTTGGTGTGGGGTGATCTGTGGTGTTCACCCCTTGGGTTGCAGAGCTACACTAAAGCAGCGGGTTTGGCAGGAGATAGAGAGGTTCATTTGTGCATGTGCTACAAAGACAAAGCGGGGGTGTGACTGCACCCCTTCACCATGAATCTGCCCATGGACTGGGCCACTGGACCTTCATTCTTCTAGTGACCGAATCTTTGCAATGGACCTGTTGTAATATGGCATTGTAATAGGGTGGGGAGAAAAAGTTCTGTGGTACAGACCTTTTTTTTTAACTGGGGTGCAGGGAGCTCTGTTGAACCACATCAAAGCTAAAAGGAAGGCCATACTTTGGCCATTGTCCCAATGTTTTGTCCAGGCTTCCAGACTTTTAATTATTACATTAAGACCCTTGTTGGCTTTGAGTGTTTTTTGTTTTTTGTTTTCCTTAACATGAGCATAATAAGCAACCCTAAGCATCTCTTTGTGTGCTGTATCTTGCAGGTAAAATTGCTCTCTTTCTTCCTTTAGATGAAAAGAGATGTAAATAGGCATTTGACATCTGAGATCCAGAAATCTGGATTGGGAGCTTGTAAAAATGTCCCGTTCTCCTACACACCTGGTACCTACAACATAAAAAAAATATTCCTTAAATCATACTGCCATCTAGAGGCATGCGTGTGAGAGAACCTTACAGACAGCAAACACTACACAACTTGAAATTTCCCTAGCTCAGTTATTCTCAACTGGGATGTCATGGCACCCTGGAGTGTTTTGATGTCCTTTGCATGGCACCTTCAGGCAGCCCTGAATGTTGGCACTATTAGGTGTGCAAACATGACTCACAAGATGAGATAAACCCAGAGATTTCAAATAGGAATCCATAGTGTTAAACACATTCTGGCCTGTTGTGGTCTGTCTTTGTTTCGTGCCACAGACTTGCTATATAATTATCTGTAGATAAAAATTGAGTAAAAATTAAGAGTTTAGTGAAGGGTGCCTGGAGACTAAGAAGGCTGAGGACCACTGCTGTAAAGTGTGTTTTACGTTGTGGATGGAATTTACAAAGTGCCCATTCCTTAGTGTCATTCCAGGTCTGCTGTCATACTCGGGGTACAAGAGCAGAATAGCACTTGACATTTAATCTTTTTCTGTCCTTGCTGCTGCTGCTTGAGGGAGACAGAGCTTCATACAGCCATAGTGTGTATTAGTCTGGCTCTCCACAAAGGATTGTCCCATCTCTATTACAGTCCCCCTAGTACAGCCTGTGTAATGGGTATAGAGGACCAGGACTCTGTGATCAGTTTATAACTGCAAACTTTTAATGAGAGAAAGCTGAAAGATGTGAATGGGATGAGGTGTCCTGTGGATAAGGCACTGGAATGGGACTTGGGAGACCTGGAGTCAAGCCTGGGCTCTGATGACTTGTTTTGTAGACTTTTCTATTACTTGACTCAACCATTTCAACTGCAAACTCTTTAGGAAGCAGGGGTGCTCTGCCTTTGTTTGCAAAGCAGCTTGCACAGTGCGGCAAATCAGAGTCATATTTGTGTGTTTCTGCAAATAGGGACAAAACATGCTGCTCAACAGGGAAATATGCCTTGTGAACTCTATTGGACACAATTCTTTGTTCCACCGGCATTCTGAAGAGTTCTTTCCCCATGGATAAACACAGTCTTGGTTTCAAATACCCACTTGGATTAAACACAAACTAAAACCAAAACCTCAAGTCTGATTCCCACCTGGGAAGATGGAGGCAGGTTCGGATTCAAGTCTGCCCTTGTGGATTTGCCTCTAGATCAGGGACATAACAACAAAAGGACAAATCGGATATTGCTGAAATCTCATTATCAAACAAAGCCAAACCCCTTAAAAGTTTTAAGTCTATCAGAAGTAACCCATGGTCATATTTCCCCATTCATTTACTTTTGGATTACATTCAGGATTCATTTAATTGAAGGCAATAGAATTAAAATGGTGCGAGTAAGGAAACATCGGGTCCTTAATCTTGCCAAGAATTAACCTGGATTTCTGGTTCAAAGTAAAATGAATTTAGAAAAAGATTTAAGCTTTAATTGACACATCTCTGTTAAAGATGAGTGAACATATAGATTGTTAGAGCTTTTTGCAGTCTGTTGTTGTAGGTGAACTAAATACTCAATATTCCAGAATTGATGCCTATCACATTTCTTCCCCAGCTACATTACTGTGACCTTCCTAATTGAAGTAATGGCCTCTGCCAATGCACGAGTAGTTTGGAACAGGAAAAGTGACAGCTACAAAGAGGTAGGACCCTTGGTTCCATACTGTCTTTCATGTATTATTCCTCAGGTTAAATTAGTGCCCCACCGCCCTCTCTCTCAATGTGCACCCGAGGGCAGCAATAGTGTTCAAACCAGCAGCCTCCAACTTTCTGCAAGACATGTTTTTAGGCCTTGTTTTTTGACTCTTGATTTTGTTTCCTTGTTTTAGTATACACGGGCACCAAGGCCACTCCGCTGAGCGTCTGAGCAGACTCAGTCGACTCTTGGAGCGTGGCAATTGCCGCATTCCAGCAGCCTCCTGTGTCTTGTATATCAGCATCCCCACACTTAAAAATGGTGGCAGGGGTGCTTGAACTAAAGCTCGTCAAATGAGCTTTAGTTCAAGTGCCCCTGCTGCCATTTTTAAGCCCTGGGATGCTGATATACGAGACGTGGCAGTGCCTTAGAGTGGCTCTCGTATCCATTTGAAAGAACCCCCCAGTGTCCAAAATTGCTGAATTTCAGGTTCTATTGCAAATGTTATTTTTTTTTTCCCCCCCTTATTTTAATTTCAGTCCAAACTTATCTAAATTTTGCGCATTTTTTTTGACCAGCTGTACCTAAGAGGGAGTCATAAAAGGGGAGTGGTTAATAATTTAAGATTCAATTCAAGATTTTTTGGGCTCTTTCACAGACTGTATGACTTCAGGTAAGTCACTTAATCACTTTGCCTCAGTTCCCCCACCTGTACAACTGCAATAAAATTTTTTCTCTTGGCCCGTCTTATCTATTTAAATCATACACTCTTCTGGGCAGGAATTGTTACTACATGTGTGCTGTCCTGTGGCTACCACAGTGGACACTACTCTCAGCTGGGGGTTCTAGGTTCCATTGTGATGCATGTAACCACAATCACAGTGAAATGTGATGGTCCCCACATTTTGACGGATAGGCCCTCCCACCAACACACATGAGATTTATGTATAATATGTAAATTGCATATGGCCATGCCTCTCATAGCTAGCTACTTGCTTGTGTAGGTGACAAGAGGTAGGACTTGAGTAAGGGTTGAACTGAGCACTAGCTTTGGCAGAATGTGCCAGTAAAGTTGCAGTAAAGTGAACATTACAGAGCTACACAGATTTATACCAGCTGAGGATTTGGCTCTTACCTGATATATATCTACTGCCTCTGCAAAATGCCACTGATCAGAATTTACCCTTCATTTTAGAATGAAATTAAATTGAAAGAAAATATCCTTGTGCCTGAGAAGAGAAGAGAAGAGCCTACACACCAGAAGACTTTTTACTCAGTAAGCTTCCTTCACTGAGAATTTCATTTTGGGTAGATTATGGCACTGCATGCATTATCCTTTATTACAGCACTGAGGAATCTCTTTGTTATAACAACCATTTCAGCAGGCTCCCATCCTTTTAGCAGGAAGCACTCTGTAACATTCCCTTCAGAGCCCCTCTCACTGCTGTTTCCTACCCGGTAAAAGAACAGTTTTGTTGTCTACCAAGACCAAAAACTGGTACTATGTTGCCCACTGATAAAGGACATGGTGAGCCTGCACCATTTTTGTGTATATTTCAGTCTTTGAATTCCAATTCAGCTGCAGGAGGGTCAGTTTAAGTTAGGTGAGCTCATATGCAAACATTGCAACAGATGTCATCCCAGATATAGATAAGGTCAGTGGTGTTTTGAAAAACATCTAACTGGTGATGCTGAATTATCTTGAATGTATGTACATTATCAGCTTGATCTAAAGTCCATTCAATTCTATGCAAAGAATCCCATTAACTTCAGTGTGCTTTGAACAGAGTTTTTTGCTTTTACCTGTTGATTGGATCTTTGAGAGTGAATTAGTTAATTTAATTGCATGAAATCCATAGTTATCCAGGATTTAATTAAATAATTTTCATCTTAGATATTTTTTTTTATAGGGAATTAGTGATTCTACCTTGAATGACTTTTTGTGATCCATAGTATTTACAATGCGGGCATGGTATTTTATCATAACCAGGGATCCTGGCTTTCTCCATTTAAAAAATTTCAAATTCTCTCATAAAATCCAAAATTCTCTGATTTCACATGCATGTTTTTCCATGATTAACATGAAAAGCCACTATACATATCAGTATCAATTGAATACAATGTTTTATTGATATATTAACAATTTTAAAGCAGTTTTGAAGCCTACCAGTGCCTCAATCATCATAATAAAATTAATTCTAAATACCTATATATTTTGGCATTTGATTTTGGTTTTTTATCATAGAAAATCAGAGCTCCCTGGACAAGCTGCCTGTGGCACTCTCTTGCTCTCCACCTGGGCCCTACAGCCATGCATTCGTGCATCATCCAAGCCTCGCTCCCACCTTCAATGTGGGGGCCTCAATCTGCCCTCCCCTGCCCACCCCATAGAATTACCTGCAGGGAGCTGTGGGAGCTGCTCTCCACACTGTCTGGCTGCCATGTCCTTATGTGTATGCGCACATGCATGCAGCATCCCTGATCACACTCCTTCCCCTCCCCTGAGCCCCAAGCAGCCCCTTGCAGGCTGGAACTCTGCCGGCCTGCAAGGGGGAACCTTCTGTTTCCCACAATTTCCCCCTTTAAAGGAGAAAATCTGCATTTTTTCCATGGTGAACTGAAAACCCAGATCCCTGATCATCATGTGCATGTGAAAAATAGTGTATATTAATATTGCCATTTAAGGTGAAGCTCTTTGGCTAGTAATAAGGCAAAGTGAGGGTTTCACTGCAGAGGTCCCTGAATGGGAAATATGAAGTACAGAGTGGTCCCTTAAGTAATGATTTAGGATTGTACCATCAAGCCACCTTCTCTGCTGCAATGTGAATCCCATTTAATTGTAGTAGTCTGTTGTCTCTAGCCACAGTGAAGATGCCTCAGCTGCACAGCATCTGGAAGCAGACTGTCTGCAGATTGATCAAACAGCTGCTGCAGCTGGGTGGGAGAGTGCCAAGTCAGTAATCTTTTCAAGGTAAAAGCACTCCATTGTCCTACATAGATTAACTGTGCATAGAAATTTCACAGAAGGCCTTTTTGCTGGGACATGTTGGAGCCAGCACATGGGCTCTGTGAAGCCCATAACATCTCAGATCCCACAAAATAGAAACCTGCAGAGATGTCCCTTCACATACATTTCAACAAGTCAGCTAACTGTCTGTATCCCTAAACAATCATCTTAGGAACTCCCTTGAAATCTTTCTGGCTTAGTGCAGAGTAGTGTGGTAACAGGAAACGGTTGTGTCTGGGGAACCACGGCAGCAAAAATCATTCTGCAGGCAGTCAAAAATGCTGTGAATTCAGTTTATACCTACAAGAATGACCATTACCGGTGATGACACACACATTATGGGCTATTATTTAGTGAACATTCAATAGTTCCCTTCCTGATCTGTGGGAGCCTCCAGCCAGATTGGGACTTAGAGCCTCAACACTACAGAATGTCCTACCACTTGAGCTGTCCAAGCTTCTACAATTCAAGATGAAAAAGCATCTCTTAAAATAGTAAGCTGTAGTGGATCGAAGATGAATACGACACCAACTCTGCCAGTGTGCTACATACAGTACATATGATCAGAAAACAGTTATATTCTCATGTTTCTCTTGAAGGAATTGTTATCAAAGTGCCTCTGCTGCTGTTACCTGCCAGACGATCCTAAACCAAGTGTGTTTGATATAAATGAGCTGCTCTCCCTGACTGATTTGACAAAGATGTACTTCAATACAGGTAGGGTTCTTGGAGTTCTTTTTCATTCCATTTTACTTTGGAACTGGTCCTCTGAGAAACTTAATGTTGTTTTGCTCCTTGTTCATCTTAGAATGGATCAGGATAAGAATGTGGCAGCCTAGTTTGTTAATGGTTTCTTCAGGAC